TTGCATAGTCAATAAAACACGGGTAAACATCTTTCTGGTGTTCTCTGCTTTTAGCCAAGATTCATCTGATGTCAGCAATGATATCCCTCATTCCATATCCTCTTCTGAACCCAGCTTGAATTTCTGGCAGATCCCTGTCAATGTACTGCTGCAACCATTTTTGAATTATCTTCAGCAAAATTTTACTTGCATGTGATATTAATGATATTGTTTGATAATCTCTGCATTCTGTTGGATCAGATTTCTTTGGAATGGGCATAAATATGGATCTCTTCCAGTCGGTTGGCCAGGTAGCTGTCTTCCAAATTTCTTGGCATAGACGAATGAGTGCTTCTATAATTGCATCCATTTATTGAAACATCTCAATTGGTATTCCATCAATTTTTGGAGTCTTGTTTTTCACCAATGCCTTCAGTGCAGCCTGGACTTCTTCCTTCAGTATCATCAGTTCTTGATCACATGGTATCTCCTGAAAATGGTTGAATGTCGACCAGTTCTTTTAGGTACAGTGACTCTGTGCATTCCATCTTCTTTTGATGCTTCCTGTGTCATTTAATATTTTCACCATGGACTCCTTCAAAATTACAATTCGAGTCTTGAATTTTTTCTTCACTTCTTTCAACTTGAGAAATGCTGAGCGTATTCTTCCCTTTTGCTTTTCTATCTCTAGGTCTTTGCACATTTCATTATAATACTTTACTTTGTCTTCTTGAGCCGCCCTTTGAAATCTTTACCCCTAATTTCCAAGGGGTGAAAGGTGCAATCCTATCATGTGCTAGGAAGAAAAGGGAATCCAGAATATTTATGAATAATGCTAGTGACTACCAGAGTTTACAAACTGAACAATAGGAAAACAGTTAAAACTTTTTTGATAAATCCATGTGCAGGACATGATACAACTCTAATAGTATTAAGTGGGATTTGTCCTTTAGTCCAGGATAGAGACTAGGATCAACAGGTGAGGCCTCAAGTACCTCACATTGCAAAAAGAGCCACAAATAGTTGGGGGCCAGACAAACTCTCTGCTTCCAGGACTTATTAAAAGGTGACCAAACCGGCTCTTTATCCTCAATCATCTTCTCAGACTTGCTACGCTAATCCCTCCTCCCCCTCCCGCCCCATTTAACTAGTATATTCCATGAGTCATGAATCAGCCTCGAGGAAGGCAGATTTCTCTCCAAAAATCAAATGAAAAGGATTCCAAGAGATTCCCTCATGGAGATTGGCAAGAGGGGTTGGAAGCCTGTATCTCTATCCTTTGTGCCTACTGTTGGGGAGAACTGGAGAGAAACAGCAAGGGTGATGGAGGGGTGGCCAAGTGGACCCCATATTAGGTGTACTAGCTAGGGGTTAGGAGCCCTGGTGGCACAGTGATTAAGTGCTCAGCTGCTAACCAAAAGGTCAATGGTTCAAACCCACCAGCTACTCTGTGGGAGAAAGATGTGGCTGTCTCCTTCTGTAAAGATTACAGCCTTGGAAACCCTATGGGGCAGTTCCACCCTGTCCAATAGGGTCGCTATGAGTCGGAACCTACTTGACGGCAACATGTTTATCTGGGGGTTGGGGCAAACCAAGGGTATTGGAAGAGGTCACTGGGGTGGAGCTCCCCATCAGGGAACAGTGCAGGAGGGAAGGCCTCACATACTGGCCGCTTGTCACCCTACAAGAAAGCCTGCCCCATAGGTGCCTGTGCAGGTCAGTGTGAGCTAGTGTGGTGGTGACATTCATTCCAGAGGTCAAATGAGAAACATTTGTCCCTCTCCCATTTCCTAGCTCCCAACCTTGCTGGGGAATTTATAATTAAAAATAAAACTTGCTCCCAACCTAGAAGACCTCTGCACAAAGGCAGAAGAGAAAGAAACAGTATTATTATTGAATAAGCATTAAACCAGAATGTAATGCATTGCAGGCAATTCGATAAAGAGGTTGTAAAGACAAAGGAATCTGACCCTTTTTGTAGCCAAGATGATGCAAAACTCAGTCCATAACTGTTTTAAGATAAATGATAATTAGTCCTCAAGTAGGATTTAAAAGCCTCATTTCTTACATGTTTTTATTAGTTGCCCTCATAGATTCCAACAAGTATCTTAAATTTATTAACTGGGGTAGCCACTTGTGTTTGTGTTAATTGCCTTTATCCAGAAGATAAAATAAACTTTTCATATCTTCAAGACAGGAGATAGGTTTGTAACTTGGAGCAAGGTGCCCTTAGAATTTATACTCCCACAGACCCACAGAAACTGGGAAACGGAGGTGCTATCTTTACTGATGATTACATTTCAAAGGGATGGCTCCCAGGTCCTTGAGGAAAAATTTCTGTGTTGTAAATCTTGCAAGGAGCTTGTTTAGCCTTTTAAAAGGATTTATATACTTTTCAAAAGAGGCAGAGAACGAATTTACAAGTTTTCTAAAGTAAATGCTCTATGAAAAAAGGGAGGGGGGAGTGCCTTTTCCTTTTTGTACCAGGAAAAATTACATAGAAGGAGAGAGGGAGAAGAGAAGAAAGGAAGGGAAGGGAGAAGAGGAGAGAGAGAGGGGGAGAGAGGAGAGGAGAGAGAAGAGAGAAAGTAGGGAGAGAGGAGGGGGGAGAGAAGAGAGGACTGGAGAGAGAGGAGAGAGGAGACAGGGGAGCGAAGAGAGGAGAGAGAGAGGGAGGAGAGGAGAGAGAGAGGGAGGGAGGAGAGAGAAAGGGGAGAGGAGAGGAGAGAGAGAGGGAGGAGAAAGGGGATAGACGAGAGGAGCGGGGAAGGAGGAGAGAGGGAGAGAGGAGGGGGGAGAGAAGAGAGAGAAGGGGAGAAGGGAGGGGAGGGGAGTAGGGAGGGGAAAGGGGAAGGGAGGGGAGAGGAGAGGAGAGAAAGGGGGGAGAGGAGAGGAGAGAAAGAGGGGGGAGAGGAGAGAGGGGAGGGGAGAAGAAAGAGGAGAGGGGAGGAGAGGACAGCCCTGATGGTGTGACGGTTAAGCGCTGGAAAGGTCTGCGGTTGCAACCCACCAGCTGCTCGGGGAGAAAGATCCGGCGATCTGCTCCCTTAAAGATTTCAGCCTAGTAAACCCTATGGGGGCAGTTCTACCATGTCATATAGGGTTGCTGAGTCGGAAATGGACTCTACATAGCACAACTCTATGTGTGTGTGTATATGTATGTATATATACATATCAACCAAAAACCCGTTGCTGTAAAGTCGATGCCGACTCATGGCGACCCTATAGAACAGAGTAGAATTGCCCCCCATAGGTTTTCCAAAAAGTGGCTGGATTGGAACTGCCGACCTTTTGGTTAGCAGCCGAGCTCTTAATCACTGCACCACCATACATATATGGAGTCAAACTCATAAGTGCGAATGGGTGAAGTCAAAGAATGGGCTCCACCCCACCGGACTCAGAGCTTCTAGGTGAAGCGTCAGCTTCTACACCTGAAAGAGAGGGAGGCCCTCAGAACTTCTATTATAGAATCCTAAAAACTAAAATTTTTTTTTACAAAGTGATTTTCCTATCACTTGGCAAGGCAAAAACAGGAATTCCCATATCGTGAAGCTAAAGTATAAAGGTCCTAGAAAGCACTTGCTCGCAGACTAGGCAGCATACACACGGCGCCTTCGGCAGCTGAGCCTGAGGGTAGTGAGGCCCCCACGCCGCGGGGTCTTGTGGGAGGTGCCACGGGGCTCTCTCCGCGCAGGCGCAGTGCTGTCGCGGCGGCGGGCTGGGCCCGGGTCCCGCTGCCCAGGAGGTGAGTCTGGGCCGCTATGTGCGCAGCCGGCAGCTGTTTGCATCAGGACTGCAGCTCGGAGGGGCACCCGGGGTCAGCTGGAAGATGGAGATCAGAGGGCCAGAGTAGGGGTGGGACTGAGGGACTTGAACCCCAAATCCAGGCCCCTGTGAGCCGTGGTCCCAAGAAGTGTGGCGACCGCGATTTAGTTGTGAAGGATCGAAATCTTTCCAGGTTCTCTAAAGCAGTCATTTCATCCGACCCTGCTCACCTCAGACAGGAGCATTAGTAGTATCTGCTGCCTGAATGGCTCCAGGATCCCTGCTTGCCACACACACCCGCCTTGGCTCAGCAGTCCTGTGCTCCGCTGCTCGGGGCTGTGAGCGTCCCCTGGTCGGGACCACGATCCCAGGATAACGGCAGCGTATCACCCCTCACAGAGCAATGTGTGCGGGGTGCTTCCACCCTTTGGGGCCCCAGGTCTTCCCTCAAATGTGTTTGGTCGCCTGGCTTGCAGTCAGGGTGTGCAGAGTTCCTTTGCTTGAACCTCCTCCAGGAGGTGCTTAGTGTAACCTGGAGCCGGGATGCGTTTCCGACTGTGGCAGTCCTGCTGGGGGGCGGCGGGGGTGGGTGTAGAGATTTGGGGTCCAGAAGAAAAATGTCAGCCAAAGAAAAGCTGTCCCAGAACCCCAGGACTTTGCTGCACAGAAATAAGCTAAGCTCTTAAGAATGAAGGCTGCAGCGCCGCAGGCAGCCAGCCGGAACCTATCTTGAGAGGACACACCTGTGATCTAGGCCCCCTGCCAAGGCTGAGCCAAGGCTGAAGTCTGCAGGAGAAAGGGGTTCTGGAGGTGCTGCGACTGCAGAGTTTATTTAGCAAGGCTTGGGTGAAGTGACCGCTTTCAGGTAACAGGGAGGGGTCATGGAGGTTTTGACTCAGAAGAGAGGGGACAGTCATATAAAATGGTGAACAATCTGTAGCAGGGGCGGATTAATCAGTAAGCAAGGTACGCAGGACTTGCTTGTGCTTACTTATCTGTAGTGCACAATTTCACCTGTTTTTTAACCACATCAAAGATGGGGTGAAACCCATGTGAAATTGTCCACTACAGATGAGTTAGTAAGCACAAGTAAGCCCGTGCATACCTTGCTTACTGGTTAGTCCGCCCCTGTTTAGTAGTGTGGAAAAGAGGAGACTTTACATGACATGGTGGTTGAGGGAATGGTTCAGGTGAAATAGCAGCATTTGTCCCAGCTGGCTGCTCTGGGAGCTGCAAGTCAGGCCTGGTCTCTCATGGCTCCTTTCTCCTTCAGCTCTGCCTCCTTAACACCCTGACCTTGCCCAAGAGGAGGAAGAAATGACCAGTTTCCAGGTGAGATGTAATTTTTGTTTTTCCTCAGTCCAGAGTGTGTCTACTCATGAGAAAAGAGATAACAATTTCCTTTCTTCCTTAGGAAAAGAGAAGGAAACCCAACATTGATGGAGCACTGACTGTGTGCTAGAAACATTTAACATTGACTTTTCTTTTAATACTCAAAACAACTGCGAGAAGTGGATATTATTCCCATTTTTATAGATGTGGCAACAGGCTTAGTAAGGTTAAAACTTGTCAAGGTCACCAAACTGTCAAATGGTGGAGCCAGGATTCATGTCTAGGTCTCTTGCCTCTGCTGTTCATGCTGTCAGTGGACAAGTCTTCCCATCCAGGGACTGAGCCTAAATTATGCACATCTAGAGGACTGGGCCTTATCTGTGAAATGAAGGACTCTGAAGGGAATGCTGTCTCCTTGCCTGATGCCCTCCTTTAGGTTTGGTCTCTTCTCCATCTAACATGTCACTCATTCATTCGTCCACTTAGCTGAGGCTACTCTGTGCTTAGTTTTAAGAGCAAAACAAACAAAAAATTAGATAAAATTCTTACCTCAGAGTGTGTGGTTTCCGTGAGGGAGATATTATATACACGTATGAAATAGTGATTACTGTCTCACGTATATAGGTCCTTCGGTGGCACAAGCGGTTTGTGCTCGACTGCTAACTGAAAGGTTAGCAGTTTGAATCTACCCAGTGGCACCGCAGAAGAAAGGTCTGCCGATCTACTTTCTTAAGAAAACTATGGAATGCAGTTCTTCTCTAATACACGTAGGGTCACCATGAGTCAGAATTGCCTGGACAGTAATGGGTTCTATCTCATGTATACATTAAACAAAATGCAAGAAAGTCACACTTAAGTGCCAGTTTGAGGAATGTAGTTAGTGATATCAGTTCTACAGGAGGGGAAAAATCAGTGTGAACTGGAGTGATTAAGGAGACTTCTTGAAGGAAGTGAGATTTCATTTCTTAAAGAGAAGATTTGATATGTGATTAACTTCCATACCTCCTTCAAGTCTTTACTTTTCGTTGTTGATAGTTGCTTTATGGCCTAGTTTGTGATTAGATTTATGTTTCCTACGTGCTTGAGGAGAATGTATATTCTCTAATGGTAGGTGCTGGCTTCTGTGTGTATCCGTGAGATCTGACTTGTTCAAATTTTCTGTATCTTTGCTGATTTAGTTTTGTTTGCTTGACCCATCAATAATTGAGAAAATGTGTGGAATCTCTTTGAGTGATAGATATGTCTCTTTGAGTGATAGATAGTTTTGGTCTATAGTCCTTACTTTTTGCTTTATGTAATTTGAGGTGTTCTATGAGGTGCAGTGATTAAGCGCTCGGCTGCTAACCGGAAGATCCACAGTTCAAACCCACTAGCTGCTCCGCAAGAGAAAGATATGACAGTCGGCTTCTGTAAAGATTACAGCCTTGGAAACCCTATGGGGCAGTTCATCTCTGCCCTGTAGGGTTGCTCTGAGTCAGAATCAAGTTGACGGCAGTGGGGTTTTTTTTTTTAATTAGTGGTCCCTAGGTGGTACAAACGTTTGGGCTCAATTACTAACCTAAAGATCAACAGTTCGAATCCACCCAGTGGTGCCACAGATGAAAGTCTTGGTGATTTTCTATAAATATTACAGGCAAGAAAGCCCTCAATGGCACAGGTACTATGTATCAGTTACTGTGCTTAACACTTGATGTTCATCTAATAGGTAATTGGGTCTGGAGCTCTAGGTCTGGCTTGAGGCCTCAGCTGCCAATGTATGTTTGAGAGTTTACAGCATTCAGATGGCTTTTGAAACTTTCAAAATAGATGAGATCATACAGGGAGATGAGTAGAGTGAAAAGAGGGCCTGGGATCCAACCCAGGAAACCTCAGCAATGGTGAGTTGAATAGAGAAGGAAATTGACAATGATCAGAGAGGTAGGAGGAGAATCAGGTGATAGGTGATTATGGTCTCCAGTCCCTGGGAGGAGAGAGTTTTGAGGAGGCCCATGTGTGTGGTCAACAATACCAAATAATGCCAAGAAGTCAAGTATGAAAAGGATTGAAAACTTTCCATTGGATATATGAGCAGGGAAGTCATTAGTTATCTTAATGAGGATGAATTTCTAGAATTATAATTGTTGGATCAAAGGATATAGTTGATAAATACTATCAAATTGCCGTCCAGAAATGTTTGTACCAATTTGTACTCCTTCCAGTAATACACAAGAGTACCTGTTTCCTCACACCTCACCAGTATTAAGTCTTCTTTCTCTTTGTCAAATGGATAGGAGAACATATCTCATTGTTATCTAAATGCCCATTTCTTTGATAATTTGAGAGGCAGGATATCTTTTCGTGTGTTTATTTACTATGTTTTTCTTCTAGGAATTACTCATTCAGGTTATTTTTTATTTTCCTCTTGTTCGACTGAAGAATTTTGTCTTTTTCTTACTGATTTTTAAGAGCTTTTCATATTATTAATGAGTCTCTGCATAAGATATGTGTATCTTTCTTAATTTTTTATTGTGCTTTTAATTGTGCTTATGGTTTGGGGCAGAACTCTGAAGTCCCTGTTATTCTGTTGACCATTTTCAGTGTTGCCATGTATGTTGATGTAGATGGTTGTTCACTGAAGACAAATTTCTGCTCTTTGGTGTTTTAGGAATCTGTTACATTCAAGGATGTAGCCATGGACTTCACTGAGGAGGAGTGGGAGCAACTAGGCCCTGCGCAAAGGGCCCTATACAGAGAGGTGATGCTGGAGATCTATGGTAACCTGGTCTTAGTGGGTAAGGACAACTATTTTTTGGAGAATTTTGGTTCCCTGGGTTAGCTGTGGGCTCTTAAAGTGTTAAACTAAACTAGGGCTTGAAATTCAAATATCACAGTTTCCAAATCACCACTGAAGAGAAGAAAGAGAAATGTTATTATTACCTAAGTAAAAACCAGAGTATCCTTCCTCTATTTGTGTTTTATTTTTATTAGAAAAATATTAAAACAAAGTATATTGTACTAAAGTCTATTTTTTTTTACTGTTTCCTATTTATATTTAAATATAAACAGCCAGAGAATACATGAGCTCACTCATACATATTTATTATGTATTTATTTATGTATTTATCTGTTCGTTTTATAAAAACGAGTCCTGTGGTATACAAAAGTGTCCAGGCATGGACCAGTAATTTGAAATTTGCCTCCGAAAATGTAAGGCGCCAAGAGACCAAAGAAAGAGGTGAGGAATTCCAGTGTGGTGGTGGAGGAGTTTCATTTGGGAGACTTACAGAAGAGATCAAGTCCTGGGCGGCAGCAGGACTAAAGCAGATCTCTGTGCCCCACAGTGGGAGGGCAGAGGGTTTATAGCAGCAGTGGACAATAGTGGCTACGTGCCAGAGCCTTACGTAAGGATGACTTACCAAACTGTAGTGAACTAGTGGACCACATGAGGGCACTCATGTTTGGCCTAGCAAATCCTGTTTCCCCTTCAGTCTACCCCTCAAGGTGAGCTCTTACAATCTGGCATGTCCCCCCATCTCCTGCTATAGTACAAGAGACCACGTTCCCTCCCCTCTGGGAACAGATATAGAAGTGGGGTTGGCCAGGTTCTATATGGTACCCACGCATGTGCAAGAGACAGAGAAAGTTACTGCATACCCAGAATTTTATGGTTTTAGTTTTCACATTTAAGTCCTTGATCCATTTTGAATTGGTTTTTGTGTATGGTGTGAGGCATAGATTCATTCTTCTACATGTGGAGGTTCAGGTTTCCCAGAACGGTTTATTGAAGGGACTCTTCCTTCACCATTGGGTGTACTTTGCACCCTTGTAAAAAATCAGTTGACCATGGGTGTATGGATTTATTTCTGTACTTTCAATTCTTTTCCATTAGTCTATATGTCTGTTATTATACCAGTGCCAGGCTGTTTTAATTACTATTGTTTATAGTATGTTTTGAAATCAGAAAGTGTGAATCATCTTATTTTATTTTTCTTCTTCAAGATTGCTTTAGCTATTTGTGGTCCCTTGCCCTTCCATATAAATTTAAGGACTGACTTTTCCATTTCTGTAAAGAAGGCTGTTGGGATTTTTTTGGAGATTGCATTGAATTTATAGATTGCTTTCAGATAGTATTGACATCTTAACTATATTAAGCCTTCCAATGCATGAACACAAAATGTCCTTCCATTTACTTAGGTCTTCTTTAATTTGTTTTAGTAATGTTTTATAATTTTCTGTATACAAGTCTTTGTCCTTCCTGGTTAAATTTACTCCTAGCGGATTTATTCTTTTAGATGCCATTGTAGGTGGTAATGTTTCCTTAATTTCATTTTCAGCTTGCTCATTACTGCCGTATAGAAACCCAAATGATTTTTGCGTGTTGAACTTGTATACCACCACCTTCGTGAATTCATTTATTATTGCCTGGTATATTTTTGTCTCTTTCAAAGTGGATATAACTAGATATTTTAAAAAATCTAATCTTAGACTCTAAGACTCAGAGGGGAAGTTAGCTCTTCACATTTACTGTGATAATTGATATGCTTGGTCTGATTACTGACGTCTTATTTTATGCACATGCTGCTTAATTTCTTGACTCTTTCCTCCTCTTATTAATAAAAAACCAAAACCAAACCCATTGCCATTGAGTCGATTCCAACTCATGGCAACCCCGTGTGTTACAGAGTAGAACTGCTCCGTAGAGTTTTTTTTTTTTTTGGCTTTAATCTTTATGGAAGCAGATCGCCAGGACTTTTCTTCCACAGTGCCACTGGCAGTTCGAACTGACAACCTTCAGGTTAGTAGTCGAGTATAAACCATTTGCATCACCCAAGGGATTTCCTCTTAGTATTAGGCAGTTCTAAATGATTTCTTATTTATCTCCTCAGTATCGTTGTTGTTGTTAGGTGCCATCAAGTCATTTCCGACTCACAGTGACCCAGTGTACAACAGAATGAAGCACTGTCCAGCCCTACATCATCCTTGCAATCATTGCTGTGTTTGACACCATTGTTGCAGCCACTGTGTCAGTCCATCTCGTTGAGGGTCGTCTTCTTTTTCTCTGAACTTTTACCAAGCATGATGTCCTTCTCCAGGGACTGATCCCTCCTGATAACATGTCCAGAGTACTTCTTCCAAGACATATTTGTTCTGGCAGTCCATGGTATATTCAGTATTCTTCACCAACACCGTAATTCAAAGGCATCAGTTCTTTGGTCTTCCTTATTCATCGTCCAACTTTGGCATGCATATGAGGTGACTGAAAACACCATGGCTTGGGTTAGGCACACCTTAGTCTTCAAAGTGGTATCTTTGCTTTTTAACACTTTAAAGAGGTCTTTTGCAGCAGATATGCCCAATGCAATACGTCATTTGATTTCTTGGCTGTATTTCCATGAGCACTGATTGTGGATCCAAGTAAAATGAGATCCTTGACAACTTCAGTATTTTCACTGTTTATCATGATGTAGTTATTGGTCCAGTTGTGAGGATTTTTGTTTTCTTTATGTTGAGGTGTAATCCATATCGAAGGCTGTAGTCTTTGATCTTCATCGGTAAGTGCTTCAAGCCCTCTTCGCTTACAGCAAGCAAGGTTGTATCATCTGCATATTGTGGGTGGTTAATGAGTCTTCCTCCAATCCCAATGCTGCGTTCTTCTTCATAATATATTTGCTCAGCATACAGACTGAATAAGTATGGTGAAAGGATACAACCCTTACGTACACCTTTCCTTATTTTAAACCATGCAGTATCCCCTTGTTCTGTTCAAACAACTGCCTCTTGGTCTATGTACAGGTTCTGCATGAGCTCAATTAAGTGTTCTACAATTCCCGTTCTCAGCAATGTTATCCATAATTTGTTATGATCCACACTGTTTAATGCCTTTGTGTAGTCAATAAAACACAGCAGTCCTACTGAGGGGAAATATTTTCAATCTGAAGAATCAAATTCTTTTTCAGATTGGGTACATTTGCAGTATTTCTTCTCTGTTTGTTCTCTCCTGGATCCCTTATATGCATATAAGATCTTCTTGACTGATCCTTCATGTATTAATATTTTCTCATAATTTCACTTTTTAATCCTTTTCCTCTGGGTTTGGTAGAGTTCTTCAAGTTTGTCTTTTAATCAACTAATACAGTTTTCCATATTCTCCAGTCTGATATTCTATTTTTGTTTACAACCTCCATTGAGATTTTTTAATTTGACAGTCATATTTTTCATCATCAAAAACATTTGCCTATTTTCCAAGCATCCCCTTTTCCACACAGGAAGGAAACTTTATGACTGTGCTGAGTGTGGTAAGAGCTTCAGTCGGAGCACAGATCTTCGCTATCACCAGAGAATTCACACAGGAGAGAAACCTTTTGTATGTGATACCTGTGGCAAGGGCTTCAGTTATAACACAAACCTTCGTGTCCATCAGAGAGTTCATACAGGAGAGAAGCCTTTTCAGTGTGAGGAGTGTGGCAAGGGATTCAAACAGAGCTCCAATCTTCGCATTCACCAGAGAGTCCACACAGGAGAAAAACCTTTTGTGTGTGATACATGTGGCAAAAGCTTCAGTTGTAACACAAATCTCCGCGTTCATCAGAGAGTCCATACAGGAGAGAAACCTTTTAAGTGTAAAGAGTGTGGAAAAGGCTTCCATCAGAGCTCTAATCTTCGCATTCACCGAAGAGTCCACACTGGAGAGAAAACTCTACAAATGTGAGAAGTGTGGTAAAGGCTTTAGTAAGAGCATATACCTTCAAGTGCATCACAGAGTTCACACAAGAGAAACTGTTTAAATGGGAAGTATGTAGCAAGCGCTTCAGTTAAACCACAAACCTTTATATTCATCAGAAAGTCCACACAGGAGAGAAACCTTTACTTTTGAAGAGTGTGGTGAGGACTTCAATCGGAGCTGCAACCTTCACGTTTTCCAGAGTGTGAAACTGGAGAAAAACTCTACAAATGTGATGTGTGTGATAAGGGCTTCAGTCAGAGCATAGGCTTTGAGTTCATCAAAGGGTGGTAAGGGCTTCATAAAGAGCACTAAGCAAGTCTACTCAGGAGAGGAATGTTACAAATGGAGTGTGATAAGAGTCTCACTTGAAACACAGACCTTCCATATCATCAGAATCCACAGACAAGAAAAAACATTCAAATGCAATACATGTCGTAAGGGCTCCAGTTATAACGAGTCTTCAGGTTCATCAGAGGTGGGCTCAAGTCTTTGCATCCATCAGATTCCACATGGAAGAAAAACCCTGCAGGTGTGCAGAGTGTGGTAAGAACTTCAGCTGGAGCACAAATCTCTTCCTTCACCAGAGAGTCTGTGTCTCCACTAGACTCTGAGCTCCAGGAGAGTACACTACTTAGGCTTTGCTCACTATTGTATCTTCAGCTCCTAAGGTAGTACCTGGCACAGAGTAGCCGCTCAGCAAATACTTGTTGAATGAGAATCCATGTGGGAGAGGTCCCCTATTCATATTACATGTGTGGTAGTGGCTTCAGAGTCTACACATTGAAACCTTTTAAGAATATGTGGTGAAAATTCCATCAGATTACAGTTTTCATCTTCAGGAGAGAAAGCCTGTTAACTTGATAAGTATACCAGTGGACTTAATCAGAGAGAAATAGTCATATTATTAAATCAGTATAGTAAATTTAAAATTACGTATCTTTAACATAAGACAATCCACGGGAGGAAGCCAAAAAGCTGGGTCAAACGTAAGAAACATTCTAGTCAAAACTCCTACATTAAAACATATATCTAATTGCTATTCAGGGAGAAAAAAATCCTGTGAATGCTTTAAATGAAATTATGTGTCTGACTCTGGACCCAGTACCTTTGCATAAGGTTGGCTCAGCCAGAATCTGGTAGCAGTAGGTATTCTTTTGTTTTATATTTCATCTCAAAGAGGCGTATGTTGGCCTCAACCAATGAGTTATCCAGGACCAGTGACTAACAGGGTCTTTCTTCTGGAGAAGACACCCCTTACCTTGCAAGGTGCCCATGGCCCTAATCTGCCTCCTTACCCATCATGTCACCAGGCTGTTGGATGCCTCTCACCATGGATTATAGAAATCATCAGATAAGGCATCTTCAGGAAAGATGTCTGCAGAAGAGATAGCTAAAGGAAGGGGCTGGGTCGGGGTATAAGGAAGGGGATTAGAAGAGAGGAAAGCAAATCTGAAAGGATGGGGAATGGCTAGAAGGAGAGGAAAAGAACAGTGCCTGGGAGGTGGGTGGTAGGTTAAGGAGAAGGTGAAAAGCTGAGAGGCTTCTCCAAAATCTCCAGCGACTGTGCTGACTACCAGTACAGGATTCTCCCTGTAGGTCCGTGCTGACCAGAATGTTGTCTGTAGTGAATGGAGATGGACCCTATTGACATCAGGGCCAATTGGAAGCAGACATGAAAGAGCTGCTTTGAGGGGCCTTGGAAAGTAACCCCAGCACCACCATTTCCCCAGGTGGACCAAATCAGGTAGGCCCATTATCCCTTCAGTGGAAGGAAGGGTCATATATGAAGGCAATAATAAGGTGGATCCCCTTCAGCAGTCATAAATTAATCAGAACAGAGCCTGGGGGAAGAAGGAAGACCTGGGGTAGCAGAGGTAAGGAAGATGTCAGTGACCCAGTCTCAGCACTAAATCTGAGCAAGGAAGAGAAAAAATTTGTCAACATTTCTCCCGAATCCTTCACCAGAGAACAATATGTGGATCCCATCCCCCCAGAGCACCTGCTTCTGGGGAAAGAATATCCAAGATTGGAGAGGTGGTTGGGCTTTTTAGGAGGACTATTCTGCTCAATGGCAACAGGTTTGGTTTCTTCGGTATGCCGGTTGAAGTTTCTGGGGACCATTGGCCCCAGTTTGGAAAAGGGGTCAGTATCCTGAGAACTACAGTGGTGACTGGTACATGGGAGGCACACAAATATCTTTGAATGAAGGTATTAATTAAATTCTCACAACTCTTACGTTTTATATTATTTTCTTCTTCCTCTGTTTGCCCTCTCTGAATCTCCTGTTTCTCTTTACTTTTAAATTTGAAGAAAAAATAACATTTTAAGTATAAAATATTTCAGACATACAGAAAAGTTCAGAAAATATAACAAATGACTTTTTTCCTATCATTAATATAAAGTAGATTTTAAAAATCTTGCCATATTAGTTTCAGATATTCTTTGTTAAGAAACAAAATACAACAGATACAGCTAAAGCCTTATGCCCCATCGTTTCTCTTCACTCTCTGTTCCGAGGTAACCTTTATGCTCAAGTTTCTGTTATTCCTGTGTATGTTTTTATATTTTTCTTATGTGTATGTCTGTAGTATTTTTAAAATTTTACATAGATTATATTGTATTGTATATTTTTGCAATTTGCTTTCTTTACTGCATTACGTTTTTTAGATTTTTATGCTGATATGTTATCATTGTTGTTAGTTGCTGTTGAGTCGGCTGCTGCTCGTGGGGACTCTATGTATAACAGAATGAAATGTTGCCCAGTCCTGTGCCATGTTCATGATCGTTGGTATGTTTGAGTCCATTGCTGCGACTATTGTGTCAATCCAGCTGATATGTTGGAACTAGTTAACTTCTTTCTTGTTCTATGTTATCAATTATATATTCTTTTCAATAGATTATTTGTATATCCCTATGCCAGTAACATACTTTTTGACTGTTATAGCTTTATGGAAATTGTCTTGGCTGTTTTAAACCCTTTATTCTTTCATATAAATTTTAGGATCAGTTTGTCAAATTCCTTGAAGAAAACCTGTTGGGGTTTTGTTTTTTTGGAATTACTTGAGTTTTTGTTGTTTGTTTCTTTTTCTCCTTTCTTCCATTGGAATATGTTTCCTTTATTCTCCTTTTACTTTCCCCTACAAGATTAGAAGTTAAATTTTCTCTTCTTATGTTTTATGTTAACATGCATAACTTAGCAAAGTCTATATTATGCCTCTCTTTGACAATATGAAGTAGAATAGTTTTAACTCTATTTCTCTTCCTCCCATGTTGCATGTTCTTATAACACGTATTGTTACTTTGTATAGTGTAACATCATATTTTTAATACACTCCCAGTTTCTCATTATTATTATTGTTTTAAGTAGCCAATCCAAATTTGGATTAACGTGCACTTTTACCAATTTCTTACCACTGGTTCTTGTATTTTTTCCTTCTGAGTTCAAGTTCCTCAGCCTTCCAGAGCAAAGGCAACTTGTGTAGTTGTTAAAAGCACCAACTTTGTAACCAGACTACCTGGGTTTGAGATCCAGATCTGTTGATCTAAAGCTGTGTGACCCTGAGCAGTTTACTTAATTTCCTTATGCCTCAATTTCCCCATCTATAAAACAGGAATGATGATACTATCTACTTCATGGGGTTGTAGAATGATTAAAATAGTGCCTGGCACATACTAAGCCTTATAAAAGTATTTGTTATGTAAATAAAATAAATTAATCAGTAGTTTTTCAGTACGAGTGTCTGAGAGTAATAAATTCTTTATCTTTATTTCTCCCTCACTCTTGAATTTTAGGATATAGCTGGTAATAGAATTCTAAATTGACATTTAGTTTTCCTCAGCAATTCGTTAACCTTTAGTGCTACGATTGAAAAATCTGTTATTAGCCTAGTTGTTGTTCTCTTTGAGGCAGTCTTTCTTTTCTCTCTGGTTGCTTTTAAGATGACCTCTTTGTCTTTAGTGTTCTGCCATTTCACTACAATGTATTTAGGTGTAGGTTTATTTATATTTTTTCTAATCAGAACACGTTGTGATTTTACATTTTATTTTTATTTTTTTTAATTTTTAACATCTTTATTATGTCTTTCTCCTTCCTTTAGGTTTTTTTTTTCCTAGTTTCTTGAGTTGCATGGTTAGAGTTTATTTATTTTTTAGCCTTTCTTGTTTTCTAATTATTTAAGTTTCCTCTGAGTAATTTGGTAACATTTTTTCCAGAATACATTTTGGCAATATGTATAAAAGTCTTTAAAATGTTTATACCATTTGACTTAGAAATTTCACATTTAAAAATCTATGTTAAGGAAATAATCAAATGAATTAAAGTGATTCACATTTAAAAGGTATTCCTTACCATGTTATTTACAAAATTTTTTAAAAGAGAAAATTATAATAATAGAGATTTTTTCTAAATTGTAATACTATGTATCTATATGATACAACATTCTCTAGCAAGAAGAATGATGTTTTCAGATAAATTAATGACTTAGGAAAATGTACATAATCTAGCAGATATAAAGACGTGTACATAGAGGAAAAACTATTTTATACTTTTCAGGATTTTGTAAGCGATCTCTTAATGTTTCCCTATTTCTATTTACAATATAGGGATATTGGTTACAAAATAATACATGCCCTTTGTAAAATATCAAAGTGTTATGAAGCAAAAGCAAGTGTATCTGATTTAGTGTGGAATGTCAACTCAGTGGGGTATATAAGATCATGAGATGGTTTTAGCTTGTCTAGTCACTGCCTTTAACCATATTCTGTTGAGTTCCCCCTAAATAAATGAATGCATGAATAAATATTGGGTGGGAAAGAGATATCCTCAAGTAGGGCTTTAGGACAGAGAGAGACTTTTCCTCTCACCAGAAAAGGCTCAGTTCCCCGAGAAAGAATACAAATAGGGTAAAAGATTACAAACTGGTGAAGATGTTTGCAACTCATATCACAGACAAAGGGATTCATCTCCCTGTTTATCAGAGCTCGTAGAAATCAAGAAGAAAAAGCACAAAACAATGAATGAGCTATTCAGAGATGAAGAAATACAAATGACCCTTAAATATATGAAAAGATGCTCAACTTTGCTCTTAATATGAGAAATGCAAATCAAAACCATGCTGAGATGCCATTTCCCACTAGCATATTAGTAAAATATCAAAAAGTTTGAAAACTCATTGTTAGTGAGGGTGTAGGGAAACATTGCTGTTGGGAGCGCCAAACAGAACAACTCCTATGGAGAGGAATTTGACAATACTACCAAAACTGTAGATACATTTATCTTTTGATCGAGATAGCCCATTTCTGAGATTCTATCTCACATATACCTGAACATGTACTTTAAAAATATTTGGCATTGTTTCCAACACTAAAAGATGGAAAACAACACAAATGCCCATTAATAAGGGACTGGTTTGGTAAATTGTGATACATTTACACCGTGGAATACTATGCAGCTATAATAAAGAGTAAGAAGAAATTTCTTATTGAAATGGAAAGATCTTCAAGATATATTATTAAATGAAAAGTGTTAGGGGAAGAACAATGTGTGTGTGTATAATATGAATATATATAATATATAAAAAAACATTTTGTATAAGAAGGAGAATGAGACTATATACACATATTTGCTTATATTTGTACAGTGTCACCCTGGAAGGATAAACAAGGAACTAATAAAATGGTTTCTGGGGGATTAGGGGTGGGAGGAAGGCTTCTCCGTGTACTTTTTGCTTTTTTACTTTTCAACATAGTTTTGATTGTTGCATGATTTGAATGCGCCAGTGCCTTTTCATTGACATTATAATATGGGCTTTCCTTATCATTTTATGCGATGAATTATTTTTAATAAAATATTTGTATTTAATTTTTGCATCTATAGGTTAGTCTGGTTTTATTTTTTGTGCTATTTTAATCAGGGTTTGGTGTTATGGTTATGCAGTCTCCAAAGCGTAGTAATCCATTTAAATAAACTAGAAAAAGGAGTACAAAACAAACCCAAATCAGAAGCAGAAGGAAGGAAATAATAAAGATAAAATCAGACATTAATGACCTTGAAAATAGAAAAACAATAGAGAAAATCCATGAAACCAAAAGATGGTTCTTCAGAAAAATGAATAAAGTTGAGAAACCTTTAGCCAAGCTGAGTAAGAAAATAAAGAGGGAAGACACAAATTACCAGCATAAGGAATGAATGAGGGAACACCACTACTCTCCCCATAGACATTGAAAGGATAATAAAGAAATACTATCAACACTTCTGTACACATATATGCAACAACTTTTAGGTGAAATGGGTCAATTCCTTGAAAAGACATAAGTTACCAAGACTAATTCAAGAAGAAATAAAGTGAGTAGTGCTATATCTATTAAAGAAATCTAATTCATAACTAAAAACCTTCCAAACAAAACTCTGGGCCCAGATTATTTTGCTGGTCAATTCTACCAAACATTTAAGGAAGAAATTACACCAAT